CTGTGGGAGTGTAGGGGCAATAACACCAGGACTTCGCTCACACAGTCCATGTAAGCCAGGGACATTCCCCTTAGTGTTGAGGGGGCTAGCTGCCAGAAGCAGCTCACAAAACAGTCTGCTCCAACCACAGGAGATCTGAGTAATGACCCCACTGTTCCCTGCAACACCAGGTTGGTAAACATTAGTTCTAAATTTCTCAGTCTCACTGTAATCTACTGAGTGGACATAGGGAAGAGCCTACCTCAATTTTACCCCTCTGAATTCATGACTGCCAGAGTAAAATCTCCTGTACAGTTTATAGAATGAGAGCAGAGTTCAGTTCACATTCATAGTCCCAGAACTCAGGCTGTTAGCTGCTAGCCACAGTTCCAGTTGGATTCACCTAGTAGGATCTGAGAAACATCTATCCACATCACACAATCCTAAAGTCCTAGAAATTGGTGCCCAAAGCCCTAGCTTCACTCTGGCTGGCCAGTTCTAAAGTAGTGAGAATCCAGAGTAACAGTGTAACTATGTAACATTTTCACGGCATGTGTAATGGAATCCCAGCCTTTACGGACTCATGCTATCAGGATTGGGTAATTCCTTTCGTAGACCAGAAATTGCTGTTTGGCTAGGTCTTCTTCACATTCCTCCCAACTGAGGGTGTCCAATATTCCAGAGCTACATTCCCTGGCACCTGGTCAATCTGATCAAATACTTCCTCCTCAACGAAAAGGGGAATATTTTAGTGCCATTTCAGAATTTTAAAGCACATCCGGAGAAGTAAGGGAATCTAAGTCATCACTGAAGAGACTCCACACTTTCTACAGATAAATGATGAAGCTAGTTTTATGTTCAACTTACTTAGGAAACAAGAAGATTAACAACAGTGACACAACATGTTTTCATGCAAAAAGTATGGCCAAAATTAAAAATGTGGGGGTGCAACTTCTTCACAGACCTCAACATGCAGAAATATAAATTGGAATAGCTTTATTAGAACAGAATTTCAGAAATGTTAATAAACATTTAGAATCATCATGTTTTCTACTAAGTTCACTTTGCACTTTTCTGTCTTTCCTATATGAAACCAGAAACCATGCATTTGTCCTGGAATTGGTGTTCAGTGATGTTGCTATCAGTTCTACTAAACACAGCAATGAATGGAAAACAACTCATGTGTCCATTAGGGAAAGATTAGTTAAGCACAGCACATACACACTTTAGAATTCTAGGGAATAGTTAAAAAGGGTGAAATGGATTTATAGGTGCTGTCAGAAAGATTGGCATTCATTTTATTCAGCGAAAATAGCAAAAGGAAGAACACTGTTATTCATGTACTTTAAAAACTCTGTGATTTGTGTTAAACAAATGTGGAAAAAAAAGCCTTGAATAAATTTTAAAAATAATGCATATTTTTATTATAGCTAATTCTAAGGACAAGGATAAATTGCGAAGGAATGTCTCTAATGAGTGAAAATTGTGATGTAGCCACGTTGCTAGTATTCGGGGATAACAAAGATATCTTACCTACTACCTAAAACAACAATTTCCCTGCGAGGTGAGTTGGATGTGGGAGAGTGGAAGATGACTGAATTGTTTCTTTTCTTATTGGGGCTAGTGTATCAGTCATGATACCATTTTCTCACCTACTAAAAAGACTGCTGCAATTCAAGGAACTAGCCTCAGTAGATATTTGCTTACCCAGTGATTTCCACTCTTGATTACTTTGGGAGTTTTGCTTTTAGATCACCTAAAAGCATTCATTGGTATATGTGTCCCATGGTAAGTCTCAAATATTTTTAAAAGATTTACTTATTTGAAAGGTAGTATGAAAGAGAAAGAGGGACAGATACAGAGAAAGATATCTTTTATCCAGAGGTTAACTAACTCCCTGAAATAGTCACAATGGTTGGGACTGAATCAGACTGAAGCCAGGATCCTGGCAATCTGTCCAGGTTTCTCACAAGAGTAGAAGAGGCCTAAGCACTTGTGCCAGCTTCTGCTACCTTCCCAGACATTAGCCTGGAGTGGTTTCAGCGGTGGAGCAGCCAGGATGCAAACGGGCACTCATATAGGATATTGGCATCACAGTTAGAGGACACTGGCACCACAGGCAGTAGATTAAGCTGCTGTACCTCAAGGCTGATCCCAGTCTCCAGTGAATAGCTCCATTAAAATTCAACACCAAATATTGAGGTGATTTTCACATCCTGCTCTCATTATCAGACTTCCCTGTCAAGTCTGTGAATATTTTGAAAGTGTGGTGCAGACATCACAGGGAGCTGAGTAGGTCCATTACCTTCAGTGTGTGCTGGAACAGTTCATGGAAAGAACTGTGGTTATCACAGACGAGCCACTGTGAAGAGTGAGACTCACTAGTACTTGGAACCCTCTATGATGGGGACAGGCCAGGTTAATATGCGCTTTCAGCTCCTCGCGGCAAGGGCTCAGGCTCCAGGGCAGGAGGACACAGTGGGGAAGATGCTGGGACTGGACATGTGTGTGCTAGAACCAGGGCAGATCAGCTCTCAAAGAATCCCGGAGCTAGGGACGTGAGACCCTTAAACAAATGAAAAAGTCCCATACTGCGTTGGGTTCCCACTTAGGCCTCTTTTTGGTCCCTGGTTATGGGATCTGTCTTTTCATTCCCTCAGAGACATTGTGCAGTAGTCATAAGAAATACGAATCAATACGAATCAATACGCCTGTCCTTTTCCTCAGACTAAGAGCAGGCAAAAACCACATGTACGCCACAGACTAGAGATACAGTCGAACCCTATCACTTAACAGATGTGTGAACTAGACACACTCTCAAACTTTCTGAGCTTTGAGAGTGATCAGTGAAGTGAGTTTGATTAAACCCTGCCTTCAATGATTGCTAGAATGTAAGGTTTATAAAACATCCAGCATAGGGACTGCTGAGCATTGAAATGTCAAAGAATGGCAGTTATTCCTATTGTTATTTTGATTTTTTTTAAGTCCAGATGGTATCACCTCTTCTAGTGGGATATCCTTTTTGCTTGTTTTCTAATTCAAAATATGATCATGAATATGCAGTATTACAGGACTCAGAAAACCAAGTTAGGCAAACATTCTGCCTAACTGGTAGGTGGGGGGACTTGGTAACCCCTCCCTGCAGATTGTTTCAATTGATTTGAATGCTGGGGAATATTTAACAATTGGATACAGCTCCAAGCTCCTAGAAGCATGTCAAAAGCCACCGTTTCCCTCCTAACTGCCATTTTATCTAACCATCCTTATTTTTATTCCTTTAACCTCTACCCCATCAAGCCTCCCTTCAGAGAAATGTGCTGAAAATAACCTACTTCCAATAATGCAAAATTTCCCTTCCTCTTGGTTTCCTATACAAACCTTTTAAAATTTTTTCATTAAATTTAACCACTGCCCGAAGTTTCCACTCTGCCTACGGTTTGTCAAATTACACCCAAGATAACCTCACTGAACGCCTTTTTTAATGAAGCAGACTTCAGATTCCTCAACTCAAGACAAAGGGTGCTAGCGTAATGCATTTTGAGAATCCCATCTGCCTTAAGGGAATCCCCTTATTTCTCCAGAATTCACTGAAAGAGATGTGCATAAAACATTCAGTATGGCACTGGGTCTATTTGCACCAGAACACAGGGTGCTTTCTACCCCTGATCGGAGTGGAGATTCTTTCAGATTTCTACAAGGACTCAAAGCAATCACCAAAAGTGGCTCTCTATTCAAGGAAGAGTTTGACCTAAATACCACCTAAAAGCTAGCCCAGCTCATCACTTCGACACCTCTGTGACCCATCACCCAGTTTATTTTTTTTAAGATTTATTTATTTTTCTGCAAAGTCAGATATACAGAGAAGAGGAGAGACAGAGAGCAAGATCTTCCATCCGATGATTCACTCCCAAGTGACCACAATGGCCAAAGCTGAGCTGATCCAAAGCCAGGAGCCAGGAACTTCCTCCAGGACTCGCACAAAGGTGCAGGGTCCCAAGGCCTTGGGCCATCCTCCACTGCTCTCCCAGGCCACAAGCAGGGAGCTGGATGGGAAGTGGAGCTGCTGGGATTAGAACTGGTGCCCTTATGGGATTCTGGGGCACATTCAAGGGGAGGAATTTAGCCGCTGGGCCACCGTGCTGCCAGACCCCACCCATTTTAATTTAAAATGACCTCCTGCTGAGGGACTTGAGTATTTCCAAGGCCCCAAATTGCTTTTTCTCTGGGAATTTGCCCCTGACTATTCTCATCTGGTCTTCCCTCTCCCTATTTAACCCCACTCACTTAGCACACTCCACATCACCCACAATACCCCACTCCACCTCACCATACCTAACCCCAATGATACCCAACTCCACCTCATTTTATCCCACCCCTGAGCCACATAATAGCCCACTCCACATTATCATACCCCACCCCAGCATACCCAACCCCACCTCACCTCATGCCACCCCAAAGCCTACCCCTCTCTACCACACTTTACTTTACCAGCATACCTCCCCCACCCAGAACACTATCTCACCCCTTTCCAACCCACACTACCCTCCTCCACCCCACTCCACCCTTTATCACTTGTGTTTAATGTCTTAGTGCCTTAACCATCTTATGTGATAGCTACTACTAGTAAATATATGAAATAAATATATGAAGCAAATAAATTTTTATTTCACGGAACAACAGAAGAAGATAAGGGAAAACAAAAATGTGTCATGTTTCACTTTGAAAATTCTATTTTACTGCTGATTTCTTTCACATTTCTAAGTAAATGCTTATTTGCTATATTTTTTGTTGCAAACCACTAAATAACATGAAAGACTTCCCTATTTGCTTTATTAAGTAACAAACTTTAAACTCTTAAACCTAATAATAATAAATACGTAACCAATAGCATTCATACATTTAGATTTTGAAGCTAATTAAACAGTTTTAAAGAAACATTTGCAAACACTCATAAACAACAGAAGATAATCCTATAGGTTTCTTAAGTAGAACAGAATAGTAAACACAATGTGATTATTCCCTTAGATTCTACTATCAGAAAAACTGTTGAAATCAACTCCACATTGTACACTAATAGGAAGCATGTCAGTAAATCTGGCTCGTGTTCTCTCTTCCTCATCTCCCAAGGCGCTTTCACACCATGCCGGGAAGGCAGTGGGCACTGTGTTGTGAATCTTGGAGAAAACCTCGAAAGCTCTCGTTTTACTGATTTCTGTATGTGCTCTTAGGCCCCACAGGAACCCATAGCGCGGAGGATCACTGTTAGGTACCTGCTTATACTCCAGGTACATTTCCTGTACCAAATCTTGGGTGATGAGCTGCTTGGGTTCACCAAGGATGAAGTGGCTCTTCCCAGCAAAGATGCCTATCACGTTAAGCACCTCCCAGATGTCTTCCTCGGGAGCCTCATTGCCTTTCAGGAAGATAACGCACAGGATAATCATCAGGAGCCCACTGTGCAGCATTATATCATCGCTATTCACTTCTGGCTCACCGATTTGACTCAACTGGCTGACAAGGGCATAGTGGTGCCTAATTGGGTCAATTTCTTTCACAAAGATCCCAAAAACTAGCCCCATGAAGTCAGAGGCCTTCTGGAAGATCTCATGGAAGTGCATCTTGTACTTTCTAGTGACATATCTCAGCATGCCTTCCTTTGTTATCAGCTCTCTCATGCTATATTTGCGCAGCATAGATTGCACCAACAAAAGCGCCTTCTGATCTAGAGGATTAACACATGAATTACCAGTGGCAATCCTCGCCTGAGAAGCGCTTGCTCTTTTCCCATCTTGGCTCTTAGCACCTCTATTAGATTTTGGGCGAGTAACACCTCCAGAAGTATTCGGGGTGGCTGGACCTCTCTTTCCCGGCCCCTGGGATTTGCTGCAGGCCTCAGAAGTGGCTGCGGAGCTCTGGGGATTAACATCGCAAACGGGAGGGGAAGAAGAGAAAGGCTCTCCTTCTTCGGCCATGGCGGCAGCAGTGGCTGGAGCATCCTGGACACTCTGAATCTCACTCTGCATGTGGCGGCGCTTCTCCCGGGAACGGAGCTTGCTTTTCTGCCCCCTAGGCATGATGACTCCGGTCAAGGATTCAGGAGAAGAAAGAAGACACCTGGGAGAGGGAGAATAAAGTGGTGTGCGTGCCTCTCAGCAAGCAGCTAACACTTTGGTTTACCAATCTGTTTTTCCGCTGACCGGAAGCAACTTCAAAGAGACCAAAGGCCTTCCCCTGCCTGGAACTCCCGGAGGGAAAGAAGAAAGTTTTTAACCTCATGGCCCCACCCAAGGCCTTCTTAAGTAGAGCACATTCAGTTGTAAAGTAAAAGGCCCCATCAGTACTTACTCAGGAACCTTTCCTTTATCCTCCGTAAAGCCTGACTTCTCTTCCTGTTGACCGCTGTCCCTCAATCCAAAGGCCTTCTGACCCCCGTACAACGTAAGGACGTCAGACGTTGGTTTTAACGGTCGCGCGCCTCACGTGGTGGCTCGAGGCCACGTGGTGGGGGCAATACTGTATCCTCATTTGCGTTGCCCACTGAGCGCATGCGCGTACGCGTGCGCGTGCGCGTGCTTCTAACTATGGGTCCTCATTTAGACTCTCAGTGTCACATCCCTCGTGCGAAGCTCTGAGGCTATTTTCCTCATACAGGACTGTCATCTTTCTGAGACGCTTGAAGTTCAAGTTAGGGAGGGCCGTGAGTGCAAGTGTGCCTGTGTGCTGGGATGAGTTATCCTGTCAAACCTCAGGATAGGTTATGGGGAATAAGGAGTACGGTTATAGGTTATAGGTGTACGGAGTGCTCCTTTTGGCTACTTCTTTTATGGCTTTCTAGGAAACGACTCCCTGAAAGTTTGGGCTGTTTCCTTACTTGCAGAGAATGAGTCAAGGTTGCAAAATAGATACAGAAGCACAAAGTTGGAGCACAAAGCAAGGTTGTGGCTTGTAAGAGGAAAACACTGGGTAAACAGGTCAGTTTGCCCGACAAACAGATTTGGGGAACCTGCTATTCTGAAAGGTCTGCTTTAAAAGGGGAAGAGGCTAGAAATAAATGAATAGATGAATAAATAAATAACCAAACAAACAAACAAACAAATGAAAGGGGAGAGGCTAAGATACGTGATTTTGTGACACCTCGACCATCTGCTGTTACTCTAACAGATCTCTGGCACAGTTGCTTCATATTTTGTCTCTCATTCACAGTGACAAATATATTTCTGTTTCTAACAATATGTTTGTATCTTTGAGGTATTTCATGGAAAAATTTTTACCCTTGTTATGTGTGACTCATTCATTTCATCTCTTTTTTAAAAGATTATTTACTTAAGAGGCAGGTTATAAAGGGAGAAAAAAATTTAACCAATGGTTTCCTCCCCGGAAGCTAGCAACCTGAAACTAGCATCTAGGTCTCCCACGTGGGTGAAAAGGGCCCAAGAACTTGGCCCATATTCTGCTGCTTTCCCAGGTACATTATCAAGCAGCAAGATCAAAAGCGGAGCAGCTGGGATTCAAACCACCATTCATATGTGATGCTGGCAGGGCAGATGACGGCTTAACTCGCTTTACAACTCGCATCTTGATATCGTTCTTGCATTCCCCTTTCTGTAGTTTTGCATGGTTGCTTTTGGAAAATAGCAGCCTGAATTTGGTTGCCATGGTACATGCTACATGTAAGGCAGTTCATTAGTCCACTCTGACTGCCATAACAAAATCACAGATAATGTGACTTACGCAGAAATTTATTTTCTCACAGTTCCGGAAGGCAGGATCAAGGTCAAGGTATTAGCAGAATTGCTTTCTGATGGGAACTGCGTCTTCTCTGTGCCTATGTCTACGTGGAGTGAGATCTCTGATTTGACTGTCTGGCACATAAAGACACCGATCTTCTTGGGTTATAGCACCGCTACTAAGACATCATTTAAACCCATTTACTTCTCATAAGGGAAATCAGATATGAATTTTTGAAGGGAATACAATTTAGTACAGAGTAGGCAGCAAATCTGTAAATAAGTTAAGGTTAAGTAATGTCTTTACAATATCCCTTGGGACATCTTCTTCCTAATTCATTTTTTCTAGTTGCTTCCAAAAGACTGTGTACATATTTGTTAGGCTTCCTTAGGTAAAGTTTTGATATTTGCTCTTGTTGTGTGTGGGATATTTTATATTACATGTGCTAATTAGTTATTGATTTTGTACAGCTAGACTCCTGAGTTTGATCCACTAATACATACAACAGCCTTCTACAGTCTCTTATTCATCTAAATATATTGTGTCTTTTTTCCCTTGAATTTTCGATTTAGAGGTGATTGACACCATTTCTTATTTTTGTCCATTCGATATTCCTACCTTTTATGTATTTCATTATGTTTTTTTTTTTTTGCTATGGTTATGTATTCTAGCCCATTTCTCAACAATAAGGATGGTACCAAACCTTTGTAAGCTGGTCTTGACTTTTATAGGAATGTGCCGTGTTTTACATTCATATAATTTTATTGTATATTTTAGGAAATGAAAATTCTCTTCTAATACTGCTTTTCTAAAAGTTAAATCTGGGTTACATTTTTCCTCCAAAGGAATTTTCTTTAGACCTGGAAATGATCAAATGTCTTTTCTCCGCTATTGGTATAGAGAAATTCTAATTGGCAAGCTTTTTTTTCTAGTACTATATCATCTTTGCATTTCTTTTTTTTAAGATTTTTTTTTTTTATTGGATAGTCAGATATACAGAGAGGAGGAGAGACAGAGAGGAAGATCTTCCATCCAATGATTCACTCCCCAAGTGACCACAACGGCCAAAGCTGAGCTGATCCAAAGCCAGGAGCCAGGAACTTCTTCCAGGTCTCCCACACGGGTACAGGGTCCCAAGGCTTTGGGCCGTCCTCCACTGCTTTCTCGGGCCACAGGCAGGGAGCTGGATGGGAAGTGGAGCTGCTGGGATTAGAACTGGCGCCCATATGGGATTCCGGGGCGCATTCAAGGGGAGGACTTTAGCAGCTTGGCCACCGTGCTGGGCTCCATCTTTGCATTTCTTAGAGTATTTATTCACTGTTACAGTGAACATGACATGAATTCATTTATGATAGAATTTTATGTTTTAGAATATGGTCAACTTTGGCACTTGCTGTGGTATAGTGGGTTAAATTTCCAGCTGCATTGTGGACATCCCTGAAATGCCAGTTGCTCCACTTATGATCCAGCTCCCTACTAATGTGCCTAAGAAAACAGCAAACTATGGCCCAGGTGCTTGGGCCCCTGCACCCACGAGGGAAATACAGATGGAACTCTAGGCGGTAGATTAAGCTTCACCAAGCCCTGGCTGTTTTAGATGGAAGACCTCTTTTTCTGTCTCATTCACTCTGATTTCATGTGTGTGTGTATATGTGTGTCATTGTGCCTTTCAAATAAATATTTTTTTAAAAAATCAAAATTAAAATGCACAGTCCTGGGCTGGCTAGCATTGTGGCGGGGTAGGTTAGGTTGCTGCCTGAGATGCCAGCATCCCATACTGCATTGCTGTGAGTCCTAGCTATTATAGCCATTTGGAGTATGAACCTGACCTATGAATGGAAGATCACTTCTTCCTTTCTCCTTTTCAAATAAATAAAATAAATCTTAAAAAAAAATACACAGCACTGCTTACAACAAATAAATAATTAAATACTCTATTTTGGAGCAAGTGAAATATGTAGTTAAACTGTGAGCTGAAAATTATAAAATGCCAATGGAAGATGTGAAATATTTTTTAAAGGTTTCTTTATTAAGATGTGAAATATTAAACAGAGAGAAACATCTTATTCATGAATTAAGTCAGCATATTAAAGATGGTAATTTACCTTCTCAATTTGATCGATGATTTCAAACCTTTCATTGTCATTGTGTCAACTGGATATTTTGTTAGTTATATGGAAGTTGATTCTAATATTTCTATGGAAAAACAAGCTAACTAAAACAACTTAAGCAATTTTGAAAAAGAATCGAGCCTAAGAAATTATAATACCAAACAGTAACATTGTGTATTACATTAATCAAGTTAGTACAGTACTGACAAAAGACAGACACATAAGCCAATTGAATAAAATAGTCTATGAATAGACCCATACCTGTAAAAGTAAATGTTTTTTGCCCATAGGAAAACCAATTCAAAAGAAAAACATAGCTTTCACAACAATATCTGAGCAATTTGACTTCCATTTGGATGAAAAACTGAACTTTGGCCTAAAACTCTTTTTTTTAAAGATTTATTCACTTTTATTACAAAGTCTGGTATACAGAGAGGAGGAGAGACAGAGAGGAAGATCTTCCATCCACTGATTCACTCCCCAAGTGAGCCGCAACGGCCAGTGCTATGCTGATCCGAAGCCGGGAACCAGGAAACTCTTCCGGGTCTCCCACACGGGTGCAGGGTCCCAAAGCTTTGGGCCGTCCTCGACTGCTTTCCCGGGCCACAGGCAGGGAGCTGGATGGGAAGCGGGGCTGCTGGGATTAGAACTGGCGCCCATATGGGATTCGGGGCATTCAAGGGGAGGACTTTAGCAGCTAGGCCATGCCGCCAGCCCGGCCTAAAACTCTTACCTTAAAACAAATTATTTAAAATGGACCATAGTTCTAAATGTAAAATTTAATAATGTACAACCTTGAGGACAACACACAGGAGGAAATCTGGGTTATTAGAGATCAGGTATAAGTTCTCACACCTTAATCCAATACCATGATCCATAACAGAAATTCGGATTAAATTGAACTTTGTCAAAGTTGAAAACATCTGACTGGGAAAGATACTGTCAAGAGAATAAAAAGAAAAAGAGTCTTGGAGAAAGTATTTACAAATCACATATCCAAACAGAAGCCCTGTAACCCCAAGAAATCCTTAAACTCAACATTAAGCGAAAAGTCTAATTTTTTAAGCTTAAGAATTTAAACATACTCTTTGCTGGAGACAAAATATGGGTGATAGACAGATTAAAGGATACTTAACATTGATATCCTTTAGGGAAATATAAATTTGTAGAAATATAAAATAGTGCAGGGATCGGCATCCTGACAGAGTGGATTGAGCTGCTTCCTAGGAGGAAGG